CAGTCAAGTCTGTCCCGTATTCAGCAAGTGAAAATAAAATAAACAATAAAAGGTGAATCAAATGGACCATTACGGCAAGGCTGGGATGGTCAATTTGGTAAAGTAAATCCGTTGGGCATCTTTCTTCGCCTTTAGACAATAATTCTGATGGCAAAAGAGCCGGCCAAACGGGACAAAAGTGACACCGACAGTCGATGGGGGATGGTGATGCTGTTGCCCCGACCTGCCACTTCTGCTACTGCCAATCACATGCCCCTGCAGTTTTGCCAGGTGCTTCTGCTGCACTACAGCCTGATTATTGTTCATTGCCACCATGTAATATGCAGCGGCCACGTCACCAAGTGGAAACACTGTCCATGCTTATTTTCCAATTTGATTGCCATGACACACACTACTGGCAGTCTCTTCATTGTTCTCTGGCTTGGCACCCAAGCATGCAGCTTTCCAGCTGCACTCTGACACTCTCCAGTCTCAACTCCAGCTTAACTAAAAATCACAATGTATTGTCATGGTGGTGACAAACACCGCAAAGAATGACGGCCCTTTGGTGGCCCAGATCCGGTTTTCCAGAGGTGGCCCACACATGAGCCAGCACAAGGCCAGTTGCAGACACACTGGTAGTCCTGTGCTGGCCCATGTGTTGATTAACTCTGGCAAAGGAAACTCTGTTCAGACAGTGAATGGACTGATTCTTATATAGCACTCCTCTACTCTCCCGAATTACTCAAAATGCTCTATACAACATGCCACATTCATGCAATCAAACACTTTCTTTGAACTGAGTGCCACATAAACCAAAACCACAATCGGGACAGATATGGCATGCCATCGCATAAACAGTGGCGTCATTGCCAGATCTGGCCCACATCTGGCTGCCATACACTCTGCCATGACACCAGTCAGTCAGTCAGTCAGTCAGAAGTGAAATCTTGATGCCACATCTGGCCAGACATCTTTTCTATGATCCTGGGCAACATAACCCAAAACATATGCCATCACATAGACAGTGCCATCTATGCCAGGCCTGGCCCATATCTGGATGACATACCACTTACCATGCAAGAAGTCAGGTAGCAGTGCCAGCTTGATACCAGATCCGGGCCAGACCTGCTTGCTATGTAGGGATTGTTCTTCAGCATATTGCATAACCAAAGATAAATGAGGCCCTGTTTCTCTAAAATGATGTCACTGCCTTATTTTGTTATTTGAGCTGTCTCAGCCTGGTGAGACTCAGGCTAAAATATGTGGGTTGACGCTGACAGTGAGGATAACCTTTCAAGTAACCTTCGAAAGCTCCAAATTACCACGAAATTTATGCTTCTAATAAATGCATGTAAGCCTCTGACCACAAATTTATGAACAGCTGAAATTTTTTGAACAGATGTGAAACATTTTTGTAATATTATTCAAAATATTAAACAAACAGATGAGCTCACATGTAACCCACCCTCAAATATCTCAAATAAGATCTAATCTCCTGAACTGTAAAAACATAATTAAATAAAACTATTATTGAACAAACATGTTCAACATACTTG